TTTTCTACAAAATATTAACATGCTGTTTGTCCAGGGGGTCAAATACTTGTGTTTCCTCATCAGATGTTTATCAATTTTTATAAATTCATATGATGTGAATTTCTGGAATTTTCTTTGGGATTCTGTCTCTCACTGTTAGAATGTACATATGATTAAAATTGTAGATCGTTGCATTCTTTGTAAGTGGGCAAATCTGCAAAATCAGCAAGGGGTCAAATACTTATTTCCCCCACTGTATATATATAAATGAAAAGAGGGAAAGGACAAGTCTGATCAGCATTGAGAAGCAGAGAAGTTAAGGTTATGACTAAATTACCAGATTTTTTAGGGAAGGGATACTGTTTGTGTGAGGATAGTGAAAGGGGGGGGGGGAAGTCCCTACTGTTGGGTGTTTTGGGGACGGTGAAGGTCTGTCCCTGATGATTACATTACAAAACACACTTTGGCATGTGCACACACACACACACACACATGATGACAAGGCTATTGTCTGCCACCCACGCTTTCCCCTCCAATCTACTGAATACATATCAATGAGGCTCGGCGTTGTGTTTGAGGGTCATAATTATAGCCTTTTTTTCAGAGGAAGCAGAACAATGGCAGTGGTGGGAAGGGGGGGCGAATAATGTGAGAAGATGACCCTAGGGATGGCTCTGATGTCTTGAGTGTAAAATGAATACTGTGATTGACAAGCTGACCACGTGCGCACAGGACTGCGCCGGTCGCTTCCGAGCATTTCCCATCCTTCCTTCTTTCATTCGCTCCGACGCAAACAAATCAGAGTACCTGCGTGCTGACACCAAAGTCACACAGCTTGACTTGTCCTCGGGTGTTCACCAGCATATTGGAAGGCTTGACATCTGTGGAGACAAATTGCTTGATAGAACTGCAAAATCAGCACTCGGCTGCTTGTCTTTATCAACTCTGCACCTCTTCTTTTTTTTTTTAACTCAGCAATCTTACTCACCTCTGTGAAGTATCTTCAGGCTCCACAAATATGTCAGGCCTTTCACGACCTATGGAGGCAAGCATGACAAAAAAAACTACAATTTACAGCTTCACCCGTTTAGCCTTTACATGAACAAAAATCCTAAGTTTAGGTTTCTTCCATTTTTAATCAATCAAACATGAAAACACAACAACAAAAAATCTAGCATCAGAATAAGAATATAATTTTGAAATCAGCAGTCACAGTGTTTAAGTAGGACAATAGGCAATCATCAGCTGCCCTTCACAGCTGATTGTTTTCCACTAAATGCATGGATGTGATCTCCAACTCGCCTCTGTTGGCCTTTTAATTAAAATCTGCAGTAGCGTTTGCAGCGTTTTAAACTAAAAGCTTGTCCAACAGCAAGTGTGATCTGCCGATCAGGATTGTGAAACATTCAATAATAAAAAAGTGATCTTGGAGCACCAGTTTGCAGAAAAACCGGAATAATAAGTATTATGTGTAAGGTTAAATTGTCTTTATGTGTTACCAACCCTTACAAAAACACAGAAAAAAGCAAGAATCAAAAAAAGCATTAACCCTTTATAGGGCATTAAGTGAAAGACTATCTAAATTTCAAGCAAAAAACTGAAATCTAAGGAAGTCAGTTTTTCTTAAAATAAGTGCTTTTTTAACTGAGCACAAAGTGAGATACTTTGCAAATAGAATACGAACATTTACATTTAAAATAATGGGAAAAACCCAGTCTCCTATTTCAAGAGCATAATATCAAATAATCTGATTTTAAGGCATAAAAGTGCTCCTTCAACTGGGAGATTTTCTTATTTACCTACTCAAATTAAGGGTAAATACACTTATTTTAAGACATTTTCACAAATCTATAGATCATTTTTTGTAGTGTGTTATTGGAATCCAGGACAAGGCCTTATTACCTTTGCAACGTTAAAAAATATGTACATTTTGATGGCAAAAATGAATGTCGATGTAATAACAAGAAACGCCAACTTGCCCGTATATGTTAAGAAAAATAACAAAAGTGCTTCTATAAGAAATTCATGAAAAACACACAGAGTAAAAGAAATGGCCCTCCATTTGTAAGGGGTATGGATGGAAGTGATCAAAAATGGTAACTTGCCCTATAAAGGGTTAATACCTTTAGAACTGAATGATATTGGAAGTAAAAATGTTTCACTTACAGAGCCAGTTCTAAGCTGGCTCTAATGACCTGGAACCTTTTTGGTGGAAAAGCGCAATAAAACGCAAACCCATCTGGGGGTCCAACAATAACAAATGAAAATCACAGTTCTCCTATTGGAATACATAGAAAACATCTCCAGTTGAAAAGCCATGCCTTCTGAATTTGGACCAGGATCGCTTCAAAGGTAGAAAGTCAGAGCTTTATTTTAGAAATTCTGATTTAAAAAGTAGCTATATCTTTATCAAATACACAAAACTGAGCGCCGGTGTCATGCAGGTGTTAAGCTCTCGCACACTTATGAGAAAACGGATTGAAATATGAACAAAAAGAGAACTTTTAAACATATTCTGAATGTTTTCATATTTCTTATGGAAGGAAGCCCTAAAATTGAGAGTTATGGTGAGGTGTTTCCAGCATAGAGAACTTTTGCAAATGAGGGGACACTGACGCATGCACATAATTCAAAAATACACAAACAGCAGTCAGACATATCTTCCACCTCAGAATCCTCTTTCAGGCCTTTAATTTCCCTTTGGGATTAATTAATTATTTTTTAACTTAATTGAAGAAGAAAAATTCCAGCAATCACAAACAGGGAGAAGCAGACATGCTGCAGCTGTGGAGAATGCTTTTTCACAACATGTTGAACAGGTATGTAAAGATCATGAAGATGGGTACAAGTATCACAAAATTCCTTTGAAATAGATGTGATAAAAAAATAGGTTTTATACTGTTTTAGAGTGTAACCACTAAATATCAAAGCTATGTCTTAGTACACGCTCTGCGATGGACTGTTGAACTGTCCAGGGAGTACCCCTCCTCTCGCCTGTAGAGTGAGTGCCTGGAGATAGGCACCAGCATCCCTCGCGACGCCAGCAGGGGTAAGCGTGATGGAAATTGGATGGATGGATGGATGTCTTAGTACACTGGGTTGAAATTCTGACAAAGGCTCCAAAGATGAGTAAACATGGAGTAGTGAGCAAAATCTTTTCTTTCCTTTCCCTCCCTTCCTTGTTAAAGGGAGAACTTTGTTGGAAATTAGGCTCTCGATAGCAATCACCAATCATATAGCTTGCAAATTAGTCCCATAATTGGAGTAAAAAGATACTAAGAAAGAAATGCCTTGAAATGATAACCCTGCATAAAGAGTTGAATGATTTAAAAGGTTTCAAAGAAATTTGGTGCATCGCGTTGAAGTCGTTTCCTCCTCCTGACAGAAGCTCAACTGGTGTTTAACTAATATTAATTTTCAAACGCTTTTCACCACATTGTGTTGATTTCTTCATTTACACAACATGAAGGCTACTTCCAAGGCTTTTGAAAGCCAGCGCTGATATACAACATGGTGAGATGAATGAAAAATAAAAATACAAAACTGCCTTGAAAGATTGTTGTACAATGTGCAACAACTGGCAACCTCCCGGGTGCTTCTCTTTCAGTGATAATTAACAACTGTGGCAGTAGAAAGGAGGGAAAGCTGTGAAACAGAATTAGCACTGATTAAATAGCTGTCAGTGTTTGATTATGGACAAAGTTAAAGGGGAAGCAACACAAAAAGAGGAGTTGGAGACCAGAGGAGGGTAATGAGTGTGGAATGGAGATGTGCATTAATCGACTTCAAGGCCGTCCCAATCAAAAAGATGGTTCCAGCAGCAATAAAAAAAAAAATAATAAAAAAGTAAAAAAATCAGGGAGAAAGGGACCTAAATGTCATACAAACCTTTCGACTTTTCAGCTTTTAATATTCCAAAATAGAAATACGAATCTGAAATGACTGCAGATTTAATAATGGCTGGTTTCAATAAACTTACTGCCACGGCGATCCCTCCCAGGACGTGCTCTGGGATTCTTTTATAGACGTCCAAGGATCCACCTGCACAGAAGAAAATAAAGATTATTCACCATGGCTGGTTTTACCTCATGGGCCTTTAAAGCAAAAAAATAAAAAAAAAAATAGATGAGAGAAATAAAGGCCTCAGCTTGAAATGAAAACTATTTTAGTTCAGTTTTTTAAGTGATCGATCAAATAATGAACTGTTAGGTTTGACTAAATTAAAAAATTGGGAAAATGAAATTTATTTTTGGTTTAAGTAGTTGTGAATTTAAAAAATAGGAAAAAGAAAACGGTGCCTTTAGGAGACATAATGGCTTGTATAAAATAACCCCGTCTTTGCTTTTACATGTGATAGAAGTAAAAAAAAAAACTCCTTAAAGGTAAAAGTCATCAGAAGTTATGCAGACTTTACTGATGCACAGCTGAATGTGTGAAACAGGGGAATTGTTGCATTAACAACCCCCCCCCCGCCAACAAACACACACATCTAAATTGTACAGTCCCCAATCTCACACCGCTCAAAACCCACGCATACAAATACATCTACAAATGCACTTCAGTCAAGATTTATCACGCCCTTGTAGCTTTTAGCACACTGCCATGCTAAGCAGCTCACAGCGATCAGACGATCCTTTGATCTGCAGAAGTGTAAATGGATACTCAGCACAGAAACACAGGCCTGTTCCCTAAAGTCCCTTCTGCACAGCTGTAGGTAGCAGAGAGGGAAAAAAAAGGAAATGTAGCAGAAAAACTCACCATCCATAAATTCAGTGCATATGGAAATCCTGTTCTCAACAAAGAAGGCACTGAAGAAAGTGATGATGTAGGGCGAATCGCACTACAATAAAGCAGAGGCTGGGATTAGAAAGTGACAACTTAAAACATTGTAATTGATGAGCAATGCTAAGCTAAGCCCAAGAACAATGGTTGATGTTTTTCAGCCCTGACATTTCACAGTAACTGTAATTATTCTTTGATAATATAAACTAATGCTGTTTTGGCGATTTTTAGAAAGAGTTTAAACTCCTATCACCTGTTTTAAAAATATAGATAAGGTTAGACTGGTTTAAACACAGCAGTTTTTCAGCCTCTTTTGTGTTGGTGCCCGCTTTGACAAAGAAGCAGAAGTGTCAGCGGGGTCTCCTGATTAAGTGCAAAAAAATTGCCACTTTAGCCACAGACTGCCACAGTAAGGCCAAACTGTTAATTCAACCAATATCCATAACAATTAAGATTTAATGAAGGGAATAAGAATCATAAAAGTATTAGTGGTGCTTGCTTATTCCAGTGTTTAGAAACTACTGAGTTTTGTGAACCATTCACCTTCTAATCTTTTCTCCATCTCTATATACGTATGTACATATCAATAAATATACATGTATCTTATGTACTGCTTTAGCTTTTCTGTATTTTGCTTATCTTTTTTAATTTTACTGTAGCTGTCAGTTGCACGTTCAGCACTTTTATTACCTTTATCATTTCAAAGTGCTTTAAAAAAATGGGGATTTGTTATGGTAATCTATTCTGACTGTATACATAGTTCCCATGTGACCCCATATAGGGATTCACTCTGTTGCTAACTGCCATGATGGTAGGTAGAATTCCTTTAGTTATTTTATTTGCAGTGGTTATTTTATGTTGAGTGAAAGGATGCGCCAACCATGGAGACCAGCCATTTTGTTATATACTTATGTTTGGGGGGGTTAAGTCTCTACTTTGGCCCCACTGTGACTCTACCTTTCTTAGACCTCATCCAAAATACTTAAGTTATCCTGAACGATTTTCTGCATGTGTGCTGCTAAAGGTTAAGACTGCTGGAGGACATAGGGACCCCTTTTCATCACTCTGTCTCTATTCTCCTATTCTGCAGTATCTGTTGGTTCAATCTGAAATGTTATGATCTCTCTGCTTTTTTTCATCTGATCTGTTCCTGTTTGGCTGTGACACCTAAAGAGAAATATCAGCTGTGCTGCTGCCATCGACACCTTTGTTTATGGATGTTGGTGCTTGGACTATTTTTCAGTATAGTCCTGTTTCTCAGTATGAGACAAACTGTATGTGCTCTCTTCATCCTCTGACATGGGAGCTGGCTCAGAGCTCATCTGCCTGGCTGTACGTTTCTTGGACGGGGCCGCCTGTGGAGCTGATTGACAGTTGCCTTTTGTATCTCTGCTTCTTATTCTGTCTTCTTCTGTCTCCTTGAACCCCAGTCGACCTCCACAGATGGTCGCTCACACTGAGCCTGGTTCTGCTAGAGGTTTCTTCCTTTTAAAAGGGAGCTTTTCCTCTCCACTGTCGCTTTAAGCATGTTGGTGTGAGGGATTTCTTTAAAGTCAATGAGTTGATGCAATCAGCTGGTTTTCCTTGGAAAGCTTTGAACCTATCTGACTGGATGATCTGGTTGAATTGTCTGTAAATAAACTAAAATGAACTGAATAAAGTGCTTTTCCTTTTTTATGTCTAAAAAGAATTTCTATTGTTGTGCATGTATAATCTATGTCATGCTGTGATATTGTAGTGTCAGAACTTTGTCAGAGCCAATCTGTTCTCATAATAATGACTTTCTAAATGCCTTACATATATTTGAACCTAATACAGCTTTTTTAGTAAATAAATAAACATTTATAAGGGTATGATGCTTAATAAAATGAATATTATTTTAGTAGTTCATTAACAGAGTAGATCAAAACTAATTGTTTTGACTAGGAGGAACAGATGAATGTAGAACAAACCTTGTAGAGAATTTCCAGTTCAGACATGATTTGCTTCTGTAGCTCCACTGTGATGTCCAGAGGAATCACCTGCAAATCAAATATTATGAAAGAAAAGATAACATGATAATAATAATAATAATACATTTTATTTGAAAGCGCCTTATCACAACACCCAAGGACACTGTACAGGCAGATAAAAACATGACTCAGAACATAACATTGTGAAGGCAAAGTAAATAAGTGATTATAATTAATTTAATAGAAACAAAAGATTTCTCACCTTTACAGCTAAAACACGTTTGCTGAGAACATGGTACGCTCTAAAAAACAATAGATAAAACTCAAATTATAATCTGACACATAGTTTCCTTATCTTTCATTGCTCCTTTGTACTATTTAAAATATAAAACAGAATGGGAAAAAATAAATTTAGCAGTTATTTGTAGACTTTTAAACTTGTCTTTAGCAGATTTTTGTTTTGTTTTTTTAACCAGCTATCACTGCAAAAAAATTTAAATTAAATTTTTTTTTTCTTAACATAAGTGCATTTGTTTTTGAATTAAGGAGGTAAGTGAGACACTTTGCCAATGGAACGAGACAATTTACATTTAAAATAAGAAAAAACAACTGCTTTATGCAATTGTCTTATTTCAAGTTCATATTATCTAATTATCTTTTTTTAGAGTAGAAATATTCATTCCATTGTCAAATGATCTTATTCACCATTCAATTAAGGGTGAATACACTTAATTTAAGAAATGTTGACTTCCTAGCTCGTTTTTTGCAGTCTAAAGGTAACATTTACACTGACGCAGGTATTTGCAGATTATTTCACCTTTTTTTTCCTGTTGTATTAAAGACGTGTCGAAATTGATTCCCAATCTACTTTCAAAGTTTTCATAAGCATTCAGTAAAATTAACCATGAAAATTGTTTTGAAACTGCTCCACACCCATATTAAACTTGGATTAATGAGTAAAATAATTCTCCTGAAATCTCTAAAAGAAAAGGCTTCCTAAAAGCCAACATAAAATACCGAAAGTTGTTTATTTTCTTAAGTCAGCAATAATTAAATGTTTGAAACCAGATCCAAGCAACTAGAGTAGCAGGTAAGCAGCAGTCACCGTCGCCCCCATAATGATTTAATTAGCGAACACCTTAGCAGCATGCCTCGGCTTTAGTTACCGACCTTGAAGGTTGGTTTACAGTAGCCCTGACAATACCTCAAGAGCTCTCAACACACAATCCTCAAGGACGAATACTGTACAACAGCTGTAAAATGACAACGAGCAGATGGGTTCAGGGTAGGTAAAGCGGGACGGTTAGTTTGCAGGTTTTAGACATGCGATACTTACCAGACAACATGCAACGGGGCCCTCCTAAGAGACATCGTGTGTGGTAAAAAGTGTGTTTAATGTGTCCAACTTTGGGGTGTCAAATTGCTCTTTCGGTGCACACAACTAAACTGGCCCTGAAGTTTAATTAATGACAACTATTAGGGCCAAGTTAAGGATTCACCAAGAGGATAAACACCTAATGTGGCTAACCTGTATAGTAAAAATATTCGTAAAAGCGTGAAAAAAATTAAATAAAAAAAGTATCTCTGATGAAGTAAAAACTGCCTAATCAAAAAGATGGAGAGACCTAATATGCAACTAGAAAATTCACTAAAATTGTTGGAGTTTAGAGGAAAAGCTTTCTGCATTTTGATCTCTTTCTCCTCCTATTAGCTACAGTCAATGACGCTTAAGCGTTACAGCTGCCTCTTAATTAAGAGTAGGATGTTAATTGATGCAGGACGTAGGGATAGAAGTGTATGAGTAAGGCAGAGGAGACTTACTGCAACGCCAAACATCTCTTCCTTGTGTTTCATAAGTTGCTATGCTTAATAGATATCGAGGCACAGAGCTGAATGTCAGGAATGGAGTGAAACATATGCAGCTTTTTTAGGGTGTTCAATAAGCTTTGAACAAAGCACCAGTGATGTATCACCGAGTTGGCTCACAAACTGTAGGTGTACATGCTACATAAAATGGTCAAGAAGGTCAGAGAGAGAAGAGAGAAGGTGTGTCGACCGGCTGGTTAAAACGTTATTTTCAGGCCGTCCTTGACCACCTCAGGGCCGAATGTCGTCGTATGAGTTACAGTGACAGGCTGGTGACAGCGGGAGACGAGGGGACAAGGTTACAACGCACCCTACCCCCCCGCCGTCACTTCCCCCTGATCTGACCCTAGTAAATGTGCCCCATTGCCTAGATCTTATTTACACTCCAGCCTGCTCTGTAATAAAAGCTCCATCATGTAGTATTCATAGGGGCTCTCACTGTGTCTCTGAAGTTGGGGCTGTGGGTTACAGACGACGGACGTTTTGGATCTAGGCTAACAGACACGTGTATTAGACAGGGTTACATGGATGACACTCTACCGCTGCTTCTCACGGCCTAACACTGCCGTAATTGGTCTTCAGGCTGAAACAGACTGAAGCCTAAATGCAGATGTCCACAAACATCTTACATTTCTGCATTCAAAGAAAGAACTAAAAGTGACAGCTCAAGTTTGTTAGTCCACAATCTGTCTGATTCAGAACAAGGACATTCTCACTTCCTGGAAAAAAAAAGGAACTAACTCCAACAGCCACACAGTGTTGCGTCGATCTCTTATATATATCTTGTCGAAATAACCTCCATCTATTTCAAAATACTTTTGGTGTCCACTTTCCCAAAAGTCTCTGTTCTTTTTTGCTTATTGCTAAAGTATAAATATGAACATCCAATACAGAAAGTTCCATCTTTAATTCTTAATGCTGCACATATTTATTTTATTTTTTTCTCTGTCTTTTATCCACCTTACTTTTGTCTTTTTAAAATATTTTATGTGTTTCTTGTGCTTCTTCTTTTATTTTTTATCTGTGATTTGTGAAATGTGAACGCGTGTGTGAAAGATGTACTACTACTGCAAAAAATTGCCCATACTGGGACAAATAAAAGCTACTGAACTGAACTAATTCAAAAGATTTTTTTATGGTATTCAGTTCTATAGAAAGCAACCTGAAGTTTTTTTATCGTATTTTCAGGATAAGCTTTTTTTGCACACTTTGAACCATGTAGCTTATAAGAAGGTGCAGCTTTTCTGTGGATTTTTCCTAACCACCAGAAGGAGAAGTCACAATTGGAAATGAAAGAATAAAGGGCTAATTTTCATTTAGCACAAGAACATGCTAGCAGCAGGCACGATGGAGAACAAATGTCCTGAATTCACTTCTTCTGACATTTATTTGATGGATTAAAGCTGCCGAACTAATGAAGAGACTGGGCTGACGAAAGCCCATCTTTCAGCTTGTTTGCTCTTACTGCTGATTGCCAACAACCTAATGGGAGATAGCATTATTTTTCATCCCTACTCCAGGGGCAATATGTAGTGCTCCCACTACAGTTTTGGTGGGAGACAGTTCAGTAGATATCAGCAGCTTATATATATAGCTTATATATACATTTCCCGTTTTTAAAAAATATAGTGGGCACGGCTTATAGTGTGGTGTGCTTTATAGTCTGGAACATCAGTAAAAATTTTACAATTTACAACAGGCTACAAACTAAATTGACTGTATAACATCAACGTGTTGTTGCTGACGTTTTATCACATATATCAAGGAGTTCAGTTTGTTTATCCAACATGTTGCTGAATGCTGAGGAAGCACCCCAATTTTCTGTAGGTACCTGTTCACTGTGCCTACCTCTACCCTCACCAATGTTACAGCTGATCGAGGCTCTTTCCTGCCTACATTTTTGTCCCTGACTAACTCATAATATCACCGGACCAGTGGTGACAGGCCCCAGAGCCACACTTTTATCCTTTGCTGTCCTAAACAGACATTTTAACGGCTGCTATGAGCAAGCCCCTGAGTTTGCACTCTTAAAGAGATTATATGAAAAGTTTATTCTCATTTATAATTGTAAGAAGTTAAAATTATGGAAATTTCTGAGGAGACCGTTTGCCAGGACTATGTAGCCCAAAATGGGAAGGTCTGATCTGGTGACCTTAACAGCAGTAGCAATTTAACAGTCATTTATTGTGATCCAGAGGTAATTTATAAAAAGGCTATGTAAAAAAAAAAAAAATGTTTTTATGATCATACTTTTTTCTGTTTGGAGAAGCGGGTAAAAAGTTGTGGGTAACTGGAATAAAGTGGAGCACATTTTTTTTCCGATTTATTTGTATTCTGTCAGTTTTGAAGAAAGGATTGTTGAAGTTGGAAAACACAAACCATTTTCATTCATATTAAAACCTCATTGCGGGCGGTCTTCCCCCTTTTTCCTCCAAGCTCGGGTCCTCTAACAGAGGCCTGGGAGATTGAGGGTTCTGCTCAGTATCTTTGCTGTTCCTAGAACTGCACTCTTCTGGACCGAGATGTTTGATGTATTTCCAGGGATCTGCTGTAACCACTCCTCCAGTTTTGGGGTCACTGCCCCGAGGGCCCCGATGACCAGGGGTACCACTGATGCCTTGACCTTCCAGGTTTTCTCCAGCTCTTCTCTGAGCCCCTGGTATTTATCTACGGTAGTTTTTCCATGTTCTTTTTTCCTGATATTGCAGTCGCTTAGTATTGCTATGTCAACCACAACGACTTTCCTCTGCTTTTTGTGTGAGTATATATATATATATATATATATATATATATATATATATATATATATATATATATATATATATATATATATATATATAATCAACTATAATCCATTTCAAAACTTGGGATTAAAATACATCCTTTTTTTCATATCACTATACCGGTAGTCTTTAAAAAAAACGAATACCTCTCAATAGTGTGAGAGGATTAGATTATTTACAAGTATCCCACTTAGATTTTGCTCCCAGAAGCCAGGATACAATCCTGAAACCTCTCAACCATTAACCAAATAGGTTTGGTACTTCAATATACACTCCAATCAATGAGGCAGGAAAACCAAATCAATGGAGAAAATGGGCAGTGATGCTAAAGAAACAGCTGTCGTTGCCTAAGTAGGTGTTGCCACAGTCACAGCCAGGCAAATGTGCTGTTTTAATTGCCTGTTGGATCCATGAGTCATGGACATCCTTGCTACAGTACTTATTAGCTGCAGCACCGCTCAGACTGGTGAACAGTGCGTAATGAAAAAATAAATAAATAAAAAAAGGTGACTTTGATGGATGAGCAGGTCAACGTGTGGCTATGAAGAGCCGAGTTGTTGGTAACATTCAATTGAGTCGAAATGGCTCTGGGTCATAAACAGGGTAAGAGGTTAATAGGTGGGGAGCCATTTGAGGCTCTATTCACATGTGATGAACCCAATCTAAGCTGGACCAAACAGCAGAGATTAACAAGGATAGAAGCGTAGTCTAAGCCAAAAAACAGCGTCTGTCCAAACAGTGAGTGCATGTAGAATCTGTGGCTCCCTAATAGTGAAGTCAATCCATTCATTTCACATTTAATTAATGAATTATGAAAAATATTTTTTTTTTTAAAAAGGTAATGTAACGGTAAAATATGAATAATTCTTCCGATTTTTTTTTAAAGTTTGGTTCCAAATAACACCTTTAAGAATTGCCAAATATACCTAAATTATGTTATCATCAGGATATTCAATTAGGCTAAACTGTAAAACAAAAAAGTGAAAGCTGCTTTTTCTAACTCCGTTTATTTTCCTTTTCTTTTGCTTTATCTGCTTCCTTCAACCATGACATTTTTACCACCAACGCATATAGATTTTTACTGGACTAAATTGACCAGAGAAGTTGTTGGGCTTGCAGTATCGGCTTTCTTCAGTGCAGTGTAACCATTTCTGGTGACAACTAAAAGGACGAAGCCCGTTGAAACACTTTTAAAGTCGCAAAGCAGTGAAAGAAGTTTGAAAAGAAAAGATGACAAAAAAAAAAAAAAAAGATGTTCTGATGTTGGTGTCAGAATGAAAAGATTTACAAGGTTTGCTGAAGGAAGTCTGTAGCAAGTCAAGGCTAGGCTTAGCAGTGATCAATACTTCAATCTCAATAAAACAGCTCAATTGCAGGGAATTGATGGGAAATAGAAAGAGAAGGTGAGGAGAGAAAGATAGAAGAGGAACAGAAATGCCAACCTTGTCATAACGCAGCAGGTCTGTAATCATTTTGTCTATTGGATGGGACTCTTCATGGTGGCAAGTAAAGTGCTACACTCCACACCCATTAGGTCAATGGCTGTCATACCTTATAGCCCCCAAATCAATATCATATATGTTCGCAACCTTCAAACCTGAATAAATAAGTGGAGGTGGAGACACAGACTGGGCTGACGGATGTTGCACCAAACAGAGAGATAAATGACTATACAAAAGATTGGGGGAAAAAGATGGAGAACTCTTCACACAGTGAACTTTTAGTACAAATAAAGTTCACAATTAAACCCTGTGTGCATACTTACCTGAGCAGATACCTAAAAACTTAAGCTCTACAGCAGCCCCATTAACTTTATGTTTGTACTGTTGGTGCCAATGTGTTAGTATTACTTACTTATAAACTGTGCCTCCGTTCCCATGGCCAAGCTGCTCCTGATAGTGGATATCCTGGGCGTTTATCTACAGGGCGACAAACACATGTAAACAGATGTGGTACCTGAATGTTATAACATGAGATGCCACAGAACCGGCAGGGCTGTTTGTTTGGCTGTAAACTGGAGACAGAAGGGACTACGCTGTTATTGGAAGCTATAAACAAGCCAGGCATCAGGTCAGCCCAAGTTCAGCGACATGAGGAGAGAAAACAGAGGAGCAGCAGCAGGAGATCAATACTATACTTGCTGTCCAATTTATAAAGGGATATTGGGTTTGGGAGAGGAGGGCAGTGACTTATGGTTACTTTAAATCTGCCTTATTTTATATATATAAACTAAACTAAACTGATGAGAAAAAAGTAACATTTTTTTTCTTGATATTTTTAAATAAGATAAATAATATCGTAAACAAGCTAATACTAGCATAAATACCTTAATTAAAACCATAAAAATCCCTTAAAATAAAGATGACACATTAGCCAAAACAATTATGACCTACGACTGTAAGTGGTGTACAATCTTTACTGGAAACCTTTTAGCATTCAAAAGGATTTTACGATGACACCTCACATTACAAGAAACAAACCTGCAGATTAATCAAATCTCTAATTTCTGACTGCAGAAAATATATTGTTGTATATGTTTGTAAGCTTGTATAAAGACTAAAAATTGTGAATGAAACCTTAAGATTAGATGAAATTCAACATTTTGTCCTTTAATTATATTTACTTTATTATTATAATTTTTTTGGTCTTCCTACGTTGTGGGATCTGCTATTAGGCCGATTCTATGTAATGGTGATCTATGTTCCAGCATACATCTGGTTTCCTCCTTTCCTCATTGAGGGAAATAATATATTATAATTAAGTTTATTTTAGTGATAAAAGTAATAGAAAAGAAATAATGAAAATGTCATATGTGGACGCAATGCATATACTGTATATATCCCATGCACCTTTTTCTTCCTTTGGCCCATTCTTCTTCTCTTTTTTACTATTTGAGCTGATGTAAAAAGTACACTTCTCCCCTGTGCGATCAATAGTCAATCAATCACACAATCAATAAAGTCTTTTCTACGCTTCTTCATTCATAAAACAGTTTGTGTTTCTGACAAAATTGTGCAAAGCAAATAATAATCACCAGGTCAGCAGAATATACATGTGAAATAACAGGGAATTTGTATACAAAGGAAAGGGGCGGGAAAAAGAGGAAGAGATGGGAGATTTATTGATTGACTTAATCTCAAAATGGAGAAATTTACAAGTTACATCAGCTTAAATAGTCAAAGAAGCAGAATGTGCCAAAGAAAGAAAAAGGTGCATGGGATATATACAGTATATACAGGGCGTCCACAGATATTAAGTCTATTAGTTCATTGGGTTAAAGGAGAAAACTGAGATATTTCCTTACATGCATGCTAAATCCAAGCTTAATATGTTGGATGTTTTTGAGTTAGGGCAAAGCAGAGAGGGTGGCTGAAAGTTTCCATCTGTCTGTAAATAAGCGGCAACTACTCCATCAAGGAGAACGCTCCTCTCTTTCATTGATAACTTACATGCCCATTCGTCAAGATCGTCTTTAGCTCTGCAGATGATTTCTTTAAACTGGAAACAAAATAAAAGAAGCATTCAACACAAACCAGACTGAATGACTCTTAACTGGTTTATCGTATAAGCAGCTGCAGGTTCATCCATGCGCTGTAGCTCACCTGTTGTTGGCTAAGGATTCTGGGACCACCTGAGTGCAATCATTGGCTGGGTTAGGTCTCGTGTTGACCTGATGGTAAGCAAACGCAAATGCAATAAAACAAACAAATGCATGAAAGAATTTTTTTGTTGGAAATGTGCATGAAACTCAAGTTTTCAGTGAAATACAGAGAGGGTTCAAACTGGGCGTACGGTACAGAAAATACAACTGATTAAAGCAATCACCAGATTAGGGCTTTAAATGTTATACCTCAATGGGGACTTTTATTCCCTACCTTCTATATCTATTCATCTGCATTTATTTACTCAAAAGGCTGCGATACTCAACCCAGATATAAAGGGGAAAAAAAGAAATCAAGAGATGAGACCCTGTAAAGTAGACACTAAAAATAACTTTAATTGAGGTCAAAAGACCGATGTGGTGGGTTGCAAAAGTTCAGGGATTCTCCCTTTAATTAGTGCCCAGGGAAACCTCATTTAAATGCCACCAAGGTTCCCCTTAGCCAATTACTTTTGTGCTATTAAAAAGGGGAAAGATTATCAAACGGCTAAAGGTTTTCAGAGAACATCATCTTCTCCAAACAGACTTTTGACCTTAAAAAAAAAAGGAAAAGAAAAAAACCTGACACAGTTCAGTGGACGTTACAAAAGCTCCTCTGAGGATGGGTTAAATAAAAACACTGTCTGTGTTTTTATGGGGGGTTGAGTTTGTCATTGAAATGCAGATGGATGTAATATGGATCATCGGGAGAGATGGAGGAGGTGTTAAGTCATTTAACCCATGATAATTAGCAGCGACTTTCAATAGCAACATATGCTGAACATAAAATGGGAAGGTCTGCGGAAGGCCATTTGGGGGCTTGTAATGACAATTTCATGGTTGAACAATGACGTCTTCTTATTGCCTGATTTTGCTCTAACCAACAGGAATATTCCTCCTATCTCACGGATCATCATGCTCTAGAGGGGAATCAGGAGTTCTCAGGAACACCTTTATCTTACAACGACTTTCCCAGAATGAGAACCGGGATGGGAAGGAGAAAGTGGAGCCCTCTGACAGAGCCATACATCTCCATGCATAAACATGGACAGGGGAGCGGAAAAGAAAGAGGAATGAGTGAAAGAAAAGGAGAGCCTTGACTTCAATTGACATTTCAATAAGTGGAACACAGCGTTGCCAATCCATTTGACTCAACTTTACCCCCCCCTCCATCCCCTTCCCCATGTAAGGCAGCCGAAACAATTATTGAGATGGGTACCTTCAGGCCATGTATGTTCCGGATCCCTGGAGTCTTGCCCGCTGAAACAGTAATTGGATAGATTGTAGAACACATCACTGGACCATTTACAAATGTGTTGAAAAGGAATCAGTTCTTTATAAATAACTTTAAAAAAAAAAGGACAAAATGTTGAAATGACATGAGAATGAGAGCGGCTGAGATGTTGGACTCTAGAGACAGCTGCCAGTAGGCAAAGAAGGAAAAAAACAATTGCAGAGCTGACCGGTGATGTAAAGGAAAGACCAACTCCAATGGAGGTAAAGACACAATCGGGCAGAAAAAAACGCCGTTTTAATAGAAGACTGTCAATAGACCAACAGAATAAACCACTATTTAGATAATGTGGTGATCAAGAAGATCATTTTCAGGAAAAAATGGATTATGTTTTTATGAACATTAAAATAGGGTTGCACAATAGTAGAAAAAACGTGACATCGGTGGAAATAAATCTCCTCTGTTTCTCATCTACGGATAGAGTACTTATTTTACACAATATGGCAGATACATTTGTATTTCTACACATTGGGAAGGAGAGAGTTCAACCACACAAATCACACAATCCATCCAAGGACCCCTACAAACACCATCATCTTTAAACAAATATGTATGTATCGATATGCATGTTTATGAGAGCTTTATAATCCCGAATCCTCTCTAAAATATCTACTGGGTTCAAGTAGGTGTTAAATGCAGCTTTATTTATTAATATAAAGATTAGACTTCAAAATTTTAAGCATCAACCCAAAAATACTGCCCATGTATTTCCTGCAACCCAGCAAACGTACCTGGTAACAGCTCCCCTTAGAAAATAGTTACTGTGCCGAACTCTACTGAACTACTTTAACTCTAACCCCAGATTAAATCAAACTAACTAAAGAGGCAACAGTAGCGTTATGGTATTTAAGCTTAATTAACCTATTTAAAGTGTTGACCCCAAGTTTTTTTACTGTTCCTTTGTCCGTCTTTAATTCATTATATACTAGGGCTGGGCAATTAATATAATTTGCAATATCATTGCAATTTAATAAAAGGCAATTTTTAAGTTGCGAAGGCATTTGATTTTATTAACATTACAATTAACTAGAATAAAACAATACATTTCTCCCTCCAGCTCTTTAGGTGGCGGTAATATGCTTAAAGAGGGTTTGTCGCCAGACAGAAGGGAGAGCCAGCACGCATGCAAATTGAAGTAAGCACTTTTTCACACATAGTTACAGAGAAGTGCGGCAAAAATGGGCTCTGGACGAGCAGGCTTTCAAGATCATGAATAAACTGAAACCCTAAATTAAAACATGAACATGCTTAGAACGTGCAAGAGAAAGTCGATATTAAAATCACCATCGAATTATTGCTAAAAATAATCGCAATTGAGATTTTTGGTACAATTGTTCAGTCCAGTATATAAATGTGAAAATAGCTGAGGATCTTTAAATATGGAAACCATCACATTTTGATTGGTTGATGATTATTGATTGACAGACTTTATTGATCTCACAGTGGAGAAATTCACTCGTTACATCAGCTCAAATAGTGGAGAAGGAGAAGAATGTGCCAAAGGAAGAAAAAGCTGCATGGGATATATACAGCATATGCAGTGCGTCCACATTGACAGCTTCTTTTTTTTAATAGTAGGATCACTATAAAGGGTTATTGCACAGTGTGCTTACATGGTTATTTATATAGATGGACATTTATATTTATATATATAGTTATTGCACTGGGTGTTAAATATAGAGAAATAGGTTATTGCACAGGGTATCAAAAAGTAATTGCACAATATACATTGCACAAGTTATTGCCGTTGTAGTGTTGCATTGTAATTACAATTATATTCTTTTATTTTTAATTATATTATACTTATAATACATTATAATAATCCAGTCCAGATGCTGATCAAAGCAGGTCTCAACTCTGCTTGGAGCTGAGTTAATTTAAGCCAGACTTGGATTCTTGCAGCAGCAAAACAAAAGAACTACTGCAATGAAAAAAAAAAAAGACCAAAAACAAAAAACACAGTATAGCAGAGGAACAGATCAGAATCTCCCTCTGTGACCATAGCCATTTGGACCAGTTTTCTCCTGCTTCTTTCATCTACTACAGATGGACTCCTTCCTACTGCATAATCAAACTACTGGTAGATAAAGTAAACATAATGATGCCACTATTACAATCCAATAAATATATAGTCTTACAGTGCTTTGCATTAGGACCAGTATTTTTTCATGTAATATTTTGGACATTTTGGATGGAACTTCACCATCCTTTTCACCCATAACAGATGAGAACCTAAGAGCACACAAGCAGAAATCTCAGGGAGAGAGCAAAGGACATTATATAGATTAAGAGGAACATGTTGGTTAATCATAGGCACTGCAACTTTCATCCATGGCTTCCTAAAAATGGTGTAGATCTATTATTTTATTAATGTGTGGCTATAACATTGTACAGTTTAATAGAACGCTATATTGGAATAGTCCTGCTTTCACATCCAGCAGGCAAACAATGTACAGCAATGGCATCGTAGTGAAATATAATAGCTATTCTGATGCAACTTTTGAAAACCTTCATGCTGTTATTAAACTTTTTATGAGGCCAAACTTCTCTGTTAGAATTGTTTTTGTTTTTTCGAACGTGGTTTGATGTAACAATCCTAAATGCCTCTATTAGCTATAAATGGAAAATGATCATAATTAACAAGAACTGTGGCTTTAAAAGTTTTTGTGTATTGATTGAATCAATGTAAAGTGTTTCACCAAGTGAATACAGAACTTAAAATAAACCAACTTTTTGAAAAAATTCTACTTTTTCGAGATGCTTGTATTAGGTCAGTTTAATGGCCCTCGTGCAAGGATCGCCATATGTATTGTGAAAACATAGCTTTATCATTTTAAATATTCATAAAAAGTTATTTTCTAATATCGTGCAACCCTTGTTGTCAAAACAATATCGGGATTTTAGTTAACCTGATTCACAAAGTCATGGAAAATGGTGGAGACACGATGGGGACTAAACAGAGAGGGGATTTTGCCTTTTTTAACATAGTCCCATTACATGATCTGGTGCGATTTTAAATTAAGATACTACCTCTTGGAAAAATCTGTAGAGGGTCTGGCATCAGTCCATTCATGCGCTGTTCATTCATTGTGTTGCAGTACTAAAATGAAGAGGAAAAAAAAACACAAGATATTTAAAAATTGATCAGTGCACAGAAGACAATTGAATATCTTTGAATATGTTTCTAGATCTGGTTAAAGGTTAAAGTCTGATGTAAAAGTCTTCTCAGCACAAGAAAAGGAGCTGTTTTTCAAGGAGGTTAGAATAAGTCCAAAGCATCTTGAAAAAATCTGAGCATGCTGTGCTGAAATCTGTTGCCGATGAGGTCCAATGCCCTGTGGGCTTGTTCTGAGGGACTGTAGCATTAACCCTTTTCTCCTCCAGGTCAGCAGCTCACCAAACACTCATATCCTACAGGACCGGCATGGACAGACGCACTCTGAAGCCTTTCAGCTGCTTGCCAAGGCAATGCAATAATTGATGTTTCAGTTAAACAAACCATCTGTTAAAAGTGTGTGCATAGAAACGTGTGTGTGGGTTTGTTTCTGATTCTTTTATACAAGAATTTGATCTAAAATCCTAAAAATCTAAATAAAATACCTTCTTCCTGTTAGAGAAAACCTAACAGAGTTCATTGTGTTTAATATTCTATGTGGTCGGATTGAGACAGTCATCACAGCAATATGTAAATCTGCTTTCTCATTGTGAAGGAGGGAGGGAGGACGATGGGACCGGCTTGGATGGGAATGGATCAGAATGGCTACCCAAGTGGCACAGCTGTTATTAAAAGGCCTATTTATCACTGTCAGATCCCCTCCTCGCTCCTAGCCCTCTGCTTTTACCCTCCAGCACTTTCACTAGGCCACATCTGAACAAAAGGCCTAATACCAAAAAAAAAAAAAGAAAGAAAAGCAGTGCATGTTGAGGTTGTGGATCCGATTCGGCTTCATGTAACTTTAATTTTCCGCTCAGCTAGCTTATTGATTAGAGCCGCAATTACCACCTAATATGTAGTAGGTGTGTTATTAAAAGACACTCTCCATAGTTGGCCAATAACTAAACAGTGTCCGAACTCAAACAGTATCGCTAAGCCTTGAGGGACATATGAGAGAAGAGTGGGGCCCATCATCATTAGCAGAGTAAGGGGAAATTGGAAAAAAAATGGCTGAATTGGAGTCACTACCTCCAGGGAGAGCTGGATGAGGAAGGTACGGGGTCACATGTTTTATTTTAGCGCCTGACAGAAACCGGTCTTTAACTTTGAACAGGGGGCGTCTGTCTTTCAAGGTGTCGAACAATGATTAGAGATGCCTGGAAGTCGAGTTGGTCTCCCAGGAGCCGGTAGCGCCAATCAACGTTGGCAAAAAAAGGGGAAGACATTTTAGAATAGACGCCCTCTGCACACTCGTGTTAATTAAAAAGCGACTTTGAGCATTAATTTAAGCAACTGGAAGTTTACATTTTTGTCATGCAGCCATCTTAAAACAGAAGGAGAGAGATGACAGACTTCAGGAAAATTAACAGTAATAATATTTTCTTTTATTCAGAAGCATCAATAAGACCTGCACACACAAAGTGAAAGAACAAATTAATTATCCCTCTGACCCGACATGCTGTTTCCCATAATTCCTATTAATTTCACGTAATGGCTGCCTGCTCACCTGGAATTAACAACAATGAAGTCAAAATCCACTGGGATATCTCCGAAGGGCCAAGTGGCAACCACAGCAAACAAACACAAACGGAAATAAGAATACATTTAAAGAACATGGGCTTGAGTAGCATCAATTATATTCCAGAGTGCTCAGTATTTTCCAGGTGATCAGCAGCTTTTTGTACATTGGGCTCTCCCATGAGTCGAAAGCTATTACAGAAATCCTGGACTCATTTGGCAAAGATTCATGAACAAAGGAGTTTTTAAATGTGCAGCTCGAATACTTAAATATTTGTGCTTCTTAAAATGTCTGGAGGCCAGCGTCATGCATTAAAATCTCATATGTCATATCTTTTCTATCAAAAAAAAGGTTTTATTTGTTTATATGAATGCGCAAATTTGAACACACTGAAAACTGGGATGGATATCTTTTTTAACTGGAAAGTGCAGAGAATGTTCCTTCTTTATTTGTCTGTTGTTTAATTTTGTATTTGTTGTGTTAAAATCAACTCAGTAACAGATGGAGCGACTCTCTTCTAGTTTAGCTGTTAAAAAAAAACAGCTAGTGTCTGGTTTGGATCAGTTCTCTCTTTCCGTCTCAAGTTTAAGCAAATAAATCACACGATGGCAGGGGGGGGAAAGCTGTAGCTGGAAGGAGTTTGCGTGTACCATTAAAAACAGCATTTTGTTTTTATGGGTTGCGTCTAAATCTGTACGTCCAAAAATGTTTTATATTTTTTTAATCGATCGTCCAAGGGCTGAGTCTATTGTCGATAGATTTGTCCAATTGCCCAACCTTAGTATCAAACTTGAAATATAAGAGAAAAGCGAGACAGAACGATCAGTCTGACTTTATATTAGGGCAGTATTTGTGTTTTTTTTTCTTCTTTTATCAGTGTTGGCTGAAAGGGGCATGCATGGGTCAATTCATTAGTGCAGTATTGCTCTCACCATTCGTTATCCATTATCCATTTTTTGATTTGTTCTGTATGTTTAAATTTGAGATGTGTAAATTTGTTATTATTGTGTCTTTTCTATCATGTTGATGGATACTGCAATATCTTGTTAATATTGTATCGTGACCCACACGATAGCACACATGTTCTGCACCGCTTATGAAAATATTCAGGTTTTTAAGTGTTTCCTAAATACTATCCAAAATGTATGGGCAAATACACAGATCCTGCTCAGCTGTCATTTATTTGGGCTGAAATAGCTGTCAAATAAAACCATGCTAGTTTTTTACTCTCTTTAAGGAGGCCCAGTCTCCTCAGACAACACAAACTGTTCTCCTTATACTGTTCTCCTTATCTTTTTTTGTCAGAGATGCAAGACCTCTGGCTAGCCTGGCCATTAGGGCTCAATACTGCATTTTAAAACAGACCAGACCAATCCCAGCCCAGGTGGCGGGCTTATAATGCAACAGCGCTTTTCTGTAACCATAACAGTCAAGATTACATTGTCGTAGGGAAGCAGCTGTTCCAACGGTTGCAGTTCCAAATTCTCTCGAGTGGTGCCCAACTTAACACGAGTGAATAAAATAAATGTGATTGGTCGATTATCTAGGGGGTGGGATTGTTGTGGTGGGAGGTTTGCAAGCAAGTTTGGTTGTGGCCAGTTTGTCGGAAGCATCTTGCTAACCAGTTAGAATCTTGCTGCTAGTAGGTTCCCAATGGGAAATTCCATTGGGACCAAATAGCACTGAATTGGTGACTTAAAAACGACACAGTCAAGGAACGCTATGGACAGCGGAAACATGCAAGAGGAGGAGAGTTTTGTATCAGAGGTCATGGATGAGTCTCCGCCGTCATACATTTTTTTATTTAGAGGAAGAAAGTGGGGACGAAGATGTTGAGGAAGAGGACGCCAGGGCGGCAGAAGCTTCGTTTGATGTAAAGCAGTCTACATGTTTGAGCCCTTGCCTCACAACGCTGCCAGTTCTGTTAGCTCTACGCCTGCTGAAGACACAGACGTCCATCCCCGTGAACACTGGGACGTAACTCAATAAATGAATCTTATTTTAACCGCTGCGTATATTAGCTGCGACATATGAAGCAAGATGCTATGACTGTAAAAATTTGATTGACAGATGACAGTTGATTTTGATGCTGTTTGTTTTGTCCTTTGCAATTATATTGCTAAATGATAATTAAAAAAAAGACCTGGTGTGGACAAGAAAGGCTAAGAAATCTCTCAGCAAATGGCTGCATAAAATACATAAAACAGGACGGAGCACAGATAGGAAATAATAGCAGAATCACAGAGTGGGCCATTGCATCTGTAAAAGATTATTGTGGCTCAGGTCAATACTTTTTCCATCTCTTCATAGCATCTGCCTCTTGTTTTGTCTAATCACACTGCTACCCTATGCTACATAATGATTAAAAAGCAACCACAAGTGATAAAACTGGCCAAAAAAACAGGGAGTGTAAATTGTGCCTGTGGCAGTAGCAGCATCATTGTGAGCTGATGGGGGGTAAAAGACATCCACAGATGAAAGTAGATTTTGAACAATTCTGCAGCCCAGGGGGGCTGCTCTTTAATGAGGCAAAACTTTAACTACTGAATAATAAATAATAAAAATTGACAGTTCATTTAGCTTTCAGTGTACCTCATACAGAAACTCATTACATACCATTACTCTTACTGTCCATGGCATGATCAGTAACTATGGTGAAGGGAAAAATACATTGGATTAGGTAGCAGGGATTCTGTGCTGCTGTGTAGGATTGCATTTCTGTCGCCTGAAATTTTTTATCTGACAAACTGTTTTTAAAAAAAATAGTTGAGATATGTTCACTATACTTAATTTTTTTAAGTTGGTAGCTCATAGATATCAACTTCAAGTTTAAGGAAAATGTCAGCTTAATCAATTTCCTCTGCTTTAATGACTTTGTAATAAACATTTAGCACTAGCTACAACATATACTGTGTTATGTTATTTAATACAGTTTAATCTGATAATTTATCTTTATGAAAACAGAAGAATTAGATGCTTATTTTGTGATATGTAAAAAGGCCAGATGTAGACTACATGATCTTCTTGACTTTAACAATGCAGAAATGAAAAGTTTTATTTTATTTTAATGTGTGTACTCACATATGACAGCATAGCTTTGAGCTCCTCATCACTTCTTACAGTAATTCTGTCTCCCACCTCATCTTCGTCTAAACAAAAACAAAAAATAAGAAACCAGATAAAGAAAGGTGGGTCTTGGAAATCCTGTAAAACAACATCATATTACATTAATCAATACAAATCTTCATATAAACACTTTGACGGTTGATGATTTAAAGTCAGAACTTACACCCAGTCACAATCGATTTAGAAGAAATTAGGAAACATTAATAAAACAGTTAATACTCAATTAGAAAAGGCTGCTGATATTTATTATGGTTTGAAAAGGGTGATGCCAAATAGGGATCCAAATCGAATAGAAATCCAGGAAAATATACCTTTTTATTTGAACTTTTAATCAGACTGAAGAATATTTTGTTAATATTTTATTCCTTTTTCTATTCTATAATTTATCTATTTAAATAAATAGATAAAACAGGGTTTAAATCAGGACACTTTCAAACCAACATTTAAAAACACAGTGTGTCTGTATATGCTCATAAACAGACTTTTGCAAATGCCACAGTCGACTTTATCTCTAATCTAAGATCATTTAAATGAAAACATAATGATAACCCAACAGTAAATTGTACAAGAACTTACAGCTATCAGGTAACACAACTCAGAATGGAGTCAGTGTTAGTTATTTCTTTTGGGGATCTGATACATTTAGTCAGTTTTTCAGGGTGCCTTGTTACAATTTACTTGTAAGGCTCTTTCTCCTTCTCTGTTTAACTATGGATTCTGTTGTCTGTTAACCCGTCTTTTTAATATAAAAAATCAGGTAACTACCTAAAAAGCTACAACTTTTCAATCAAATAAAGAAAAAAATGACAAACTGACAAATATGTATTCAGTTCTTATGAATCACAGCTGTATATTTGTTTCCACCTTTCTATAATTTGTGCACCATTTATCACCATTGTTTTATAGTGATGTATAGTTGTATTAAGGAGTGTTAAACCTAAGAAGATCAACACTATAAAACAAGGTATGCAAGATTAATAATTAGCTTGAAGTAAGTATTTCAGGGGAATCAGAATCTTCAAAATACTGCTTTTTAAACAGTCCTGATGTCACAAAAAACTGGTAAATAAAAAAAAATAGAAGATGCTAATTAACTGATTTGAAAAGAGTCAAATATGAAGCTACCAGAAACCCATTTGCCTCCTGTGCCATCATATTCCAGGATTGCAAGCTATGGGAGTGCCCACAAGGTAGGTTTCAGAGACATGGTCAAGTTAAGGAGGGCTAAAGCATTGAAACAATAACAAAAGGACAAGAGATATTTAAAGACAGATTTTTCAAAAGGCTTTTAAAAAATGACGAGACAGGGGATGTTTGATGGGCCAGATTAACGGATTCAGTAATAGGCACAGAGCTCCACTTCAGTTAAGATGCCAGAAGGATGAAGGATTGGAGGATTGTCATGAGCTGGTATTATTAAAGATAACTTAGTTCGCCCACATTTGAGTGTGAAAAAATACCTTCAAACCCCTGATAAATAAACTGACACAATCCATGAATATTTTGCTTTTTTTTATAAAAAAAAAAAAAAGAAGGATGGCTATATTTGTTAACAAATGGTTTTAAATGTCAGAAAAGTTTACTTCTTCATTTTAAAGTGTTTATTATCATAACAGATAACAGGTTGAGTGACTTGGGAATATTTAAATTTTTCACTAAATGTATAGTGGAGGATGTTCTTTTTCGGGGTGGACCATCTAAATAAGTGATCCTCCTAATTGTCAATCATTCTGGTGATATGTTAACGTAAGGCCATCCTACTTGGTCGTCCCCATTTTCACCTAACAGTGGCGAGCCTGATATAGTGGAAGAAATGCAAATCTTCTTTTGGAAAGCATGTGTGTATGAGCGATGCAAACAGCAACTTTTAAACAGAGTGTGCACGAGGAGAAATGGGCTCACGCATGCTCTTGCATGCATTTAATAGGCGTTCCCTCTCTGGAGCAGGTACAGGGCTGTGCAACCCATCTCCTTGGGGAGCAGTGGACTGCCATCGTGCAGCGATCGGGGAGCAGTGTGGGGTTAATGGTTTTGCTCAGGAACCCAGAGTTCAAGCTGTGGGGATCAAATCGGATACTTACAACCTTCTTTGAGCACACGGCACTACTCTAACCACCAGGCCATCAGTCCCCATAAACAGAGTGCGCACGCTGTTGCATGCTATTGCACACATAATAGGTGCTCCCTCTCAGGGTACAGGGTTTTGCAAGTGGAGAGGTTAAGTTTTCAAAAATTCATGAAAATCCATCACTATGCCTTTAAGGTGCAAAACAGTTTCCCAAAACTTTTGCACACAGATATTTTCCCAAGAAAGCCCAAACATCCTCTTGTATTTATTTAATATGGACTGACATAGGAAAATGCAGTTGTTCAAGGAGTAATATCAATTATTGTTTCAATATATTAAGACATTGTACTTAATGGCTTTCATTTTTGCCTAATCTGCTCAAAAACTGCATTTTTTGCACCCTAATAATTCTTAGTAATAGATCAGCATGTCACTTCATAGGTAAGTAACATGGAAATCTGCTAGCAATTTAACTTAGGTTATTATTAGAGTGTGTGTGTGTTTAAGAGGCTATCTCCAGTAAATAATGTTTTAATACACAAGCTGCTTTTAATACTAGATTGGACCAGGAGGAACTTACATTCAAAGGCAGTGACAGTGGCTTCAGGCATCACGTCTCTGATTGCGACCTGAAATATTTGGAGAGTTAAAATTGGAATAAACACAACTTTAAATCTGTTAACAAATGCTAAGATTTTAAATAGAGACACAGAGCTGGGGTGTATGAGCTGGAAATACAAGTAAAAAACAGAGGCAGGTGTTTGAATTTGTCCCACCAAACAGGTATTTACTGGATTCAAGCTACAGATATGTGGGAAAGTTTTGCTTTTAGCTTAACTGACAGCTCTCTGGTTGCTTTGAACTCACCAGCAGGTCATTGAAGTTAAGCACAGATGGATAGTCCACAGACGAATCCATATCCCCTAAAGGGGTCTTTATACGGATTATTATCGGCTCGGTGTCCATTTCCCCTGGAGGATTTAAAATAAGCATAAAAACGAAAGGTTAAGCCTCATATTCCTGAGTATGAAGGCTAGCGAGCTAATTTCCTGCAGTGGTTGTTTCCTATTAAAGTGACGTGAAACTGTAAAAAAAGATGAGCTCGTCCGCTAATGTCAAGGCATCCCCGCCGGAAACCTTCAGGCTGAGATAAATATGTGTTTTCTTTTTCGTCCTAAAGAAAACTTTTCTTAAGGAACACAGAAGGTGTTTAGCTAGGCAGCTAGTTTGAAGGAAGTAGCTCCAACAGCGTTTCCGGAACAACATCCGCTTACAGAATTTCAAAATAAAATACATCATCTTACTTTTTTGTTAAAGCTTTATTAGAAAACTTTTTTTTTACTACAAGAATAAATAAGTAAAATTTCCAAGGAACAGTCAGGGGTTTGAAAAAAATAGTAATAATAATAATAATAATAAAAAAAATTACTGAATAAACTTAAAAATAGTAAAGTAAAAAATTACTGAATAAACTTAAAAATAGTAAAGTAATTGAGTAAAGCTAGACATAGAAGACACAGAAGCATATAAAGGGATTACATAAATATTTTGAATTTAGGACATAATGATAAATTTTTAATAGCCTTTTTGTTATTGGGAGAAGATAATGTAGAGAAATAAATTGTTGCTTCCTTTAAGAAAGAGATACATGAGGGTTTAGTCATAATTTCACATTTACACATAGTCATGTATTCTCTCAGACATTTCTGATTGAGTATGTAACATGTATATTAAGTTGAGTTATGTTAAGATGTTAAATGGCGATGGTAAATACATAAAATACTGTCTAATAATCAACTGACCTGAATACACATTTTTAGAAAATACTTCTTTCAATGATCATCTGTTTTTAATCAACTTAAACTTAATTTTGCATTAATTATCTTATTACGCACTGCAACTAGGGCTGAAACAATCAAGCAGATTAATGGTGATTAATCGATTATTGAAATAATTGTCAACTAATTTGGTAATCGATTAATCATTAATTGAAGTAGAGACTCAAAAACATGCCTTTAACTGACGAAAGGACCCGCCTTGAGAAGCAATTATTCCAAAATTGTAAAAAAAAAAAACGTAAACATTTTGCATTTAAGATAAATAAACTTTTTAGATTATCAATATGCTCTATCCAAAACTCCTCCAGTGGGAAACTTTTAGTTTTATCTGGTTTAATTTCATAAATAAAAATAAAAAAATCATAAAAAGAAACCTTTTCCTATTTGATTATTAATCCACTAATTGGGAACAAATCGACAGATTCATTGATTTGCAAAATAATCGTTAGTTGCAGACCTAACTTGGTCTCTGTTAAAACACACCAGACACCAATATGTACTGTAGAGCTTGACTTGAGATTGAAATTACCACATTTTCTGAGATTAACAATTCATGACATTTCTAATTTCACCGTAGGGAAAAAACAAAAAAAAAACAAAAAAAAAAAAAACAACAAACTTTTTCAGAGCAAAAGTGTAGCCCTATCCACAAGTTTACCCTACGGCTTACAAATGTGTGTGTGTGTGTGAGAATGTGTGTGCTTTAATGACGAAAGAGGTTAAGGTAAAAAGAAATTAAGGAAAAATGTTCTAAATAGTTTTCCCAATGAAGAGTATCTACAGCAGATCATAGATCTAGATGATTTAACAGATGAAAATAAGTTCAAATAATAAAACACTAATTTGTATCTTTTTCAATAATCTTAAAGCTACAGTGCGTAATAATTTCAAGGATTTACTGACAGAAATGTAAATGCTGGGCATAAGTATTTATGAGAATTGAAATTCTCAAGCATGATGTTTTCATTGCCTTAGAAATTGCTATTTATAATTACAAAAATTGCTATTCATAGTTACAAAAGAGCAGGTAATGTTTGTAAGGAGGCAGTGTTGGGATCTGGAGGCTTGTCTAATTTTCTCCACCAAAGGGCGCCTGAGATCTTCCTCCTGAGGGCATTAGCTGACTTCGACACACCTGTTTTCCATCTGCTCATCATGAGCCCTTCATAAGGAGGAGGAGGCTGACACTTCCCTGCCAGAGTGTTTGCCAGTAATGGTACCAGCAAAACCTGAGCCAGCCTTATTGATCTGTTATCTGATTTTTGTGAACAAGCCTGACCCTGTGTTATTCTGCCTCTCAGATCCTGACTTATCTGGAGATCTTCCTAAACCTGGATAAATCAATCGCTTCCTGGAACCAGCCTGTCTGTCCTCCGCCTCAGCCTCTGCCTCTGCCTCTGCCCTCAGCCTGCCGACAGCCTCTGGACCCACAAGGTTTCCCCCCTGCTGATCTGAATACCCTCTGAGCAGGTATTAATCCTAGTCACCGTTGAACTGCAAGTTTCCTGGATCCACTCTAACTGATCTTTCCTCCTCTAGTGCTTCCCTCCCGTGACCAGCCTGCCGAGCCAAGAACCCGTTCACATTTATCTGTAAACATTGTAAATAAACCATTTAACTTTTTCCCCGTCTGAAGAGTGTTTCTGCATGTGGGTTAGATGCTAGACCTCAACATGACAGGCAGACATGTTTGGCTGTACAGTGCAGAGCTGACAGACTAGTGACTGTAGAGATTTTATTACGCCTAAATGTGACTGCAAAAAGTTAGGCCTATATACAATCTTATATAGACTAATAAAATCCTTTTTTTTATTATCTATGTAAACTACTTTCTCCTGCTCTTCAGCAGGACCAATCACCTGGACAGCAGAGGTAAGGTGAGCAAAGTTCTGGAGCTCAGACAGCAGAAGCAGGAAATCAGTGTGAGAATACCAGCTGAGAGAGGTCCACACTGAAAGAAATCGAAATCATAATACGTCATTTTTTTTCTTAAAATAAGTGCATTTGTTCTTGGATTAAGCAGGTAAAGGAGACATGTTGCCAATGGAAGAAGACAATTACACTTAAAATAAAAAACTCAATTGCATTGTCTTATTTCAAGTGCATATTATATAATCTTTTAAGAGTAAAAATATTAATTCCATTGGCAAACTCTCATTCACCTACTCAAATTAAAGGTAAATACAGTTAATTTAAGGAATTTTTACTTATTTCTAGATCATTTTTCCAGTGCATAACTGGGATGAAGTAGCCAGCGGTACCCCTGTCTGGAGCTCATGAACCCCAGCAGTAGCTCAGACGGAGCACATATATGCACTTTATAAGTTTTTTCAGGCAAACAGAGTGCTAAACACTGTGGAGAGGCTATGACTGACCCAGGAGAGCTATAGAAATGAATGCGGGGATCACAGCAGGATTCGGTTATACGGTTCTTAATTTAGAAATTTGATTTTCAGTTATAAAATGCAGTTTTTGTACTGACATCAAAGATAAGTTTTTAAGATAGCTTGAGATTATAGATAAGGTTTGCATGCAGCACAAGTATAAAAAGTACAATGCCAGGGAAGTGACGGCCTAGTGATTAGAGCGTAGAGCTTGGAATCCTGAGGTTCTGAGTTCGAGCCCCACTCCCACAGACTGCCAGTCTGGGTCCCTGAGCAAGACCCTTAACCCCACACTGCTCCCCGGGTGCCACACAATGGCAGCCCACTGCTCCCCAAAGGGATGGGTTAAATGCAGAGGTACATTTCTCCAATGTGAGATCAATAAAGTTCAATTATTTATCTTTAAATCATATTTTTTTTTATTTCTTATGTGATATTGATACATTTTACCCATCTAAGATTTAAAACTAAATGCCCCATTTGATTCCTCAGAATAACCTAGTCCAGTCATATAGTAGGAAAGTAAAATAAGTTAAAAAAAATAAAGGGGATTTTTTTATATATACACCCACACCCCCCCAAGCTCATTTTATTTGTTATATGTTTAATCTGTAAACATATCTTAGTTTGATTAATAATACATTTAAACTTTGGCTTATTTACTGCTGTATAGTTTCTTAAAACCATTAAAGGAATGATGTCTCAGCAGGACCTTGATAAAATAGTTGATAAGCTCTTTTTTGGTAGAATTAATTACTATTTTACAGGTTTGCCCGATCAGATGGCTTCAGTTTATCCAGAATGCTGCTGCCCGCATCCTCACTAAATTGAAGAAAATGGAGCACATCATCCCAGTTCTAAAATTGTTTCACTGTCTACCTGTATAAAAGAGAACAGACTTAAAAAGACTTCTTTTAATCTATAAATTGCTGAACGTTCTCCAAAATACATTACAAACTTATTGTCAGCGTATTAACCTTCCAGAATTCTCAGGTCGGGATGGATCAATCTATGCATAATAATCAGAACCAAATATGAAGAGGCAGCTTTTAGTGTTTTGCTGCACTAATCTGGAATAAACTTTCATAAAACTGTAAAAGTGTTGAAACCCTTTGTTGCTCTAAAATTTTGCGTCTAACTGTATTAAAAATGCATTTGGTTAGAGTGGAATTTGACTTTGATCTAATCATTGTGAATTAAGTTTCCAGTCAATTTTCCTAACCATTTATACTTTACTTTATACTTTATACTTATCTTATATTTATCTTTAGTTAGTTTTTTTATTAATAAATTATTTTATCAATATTATTTAATTGTCTTATTTCAATTATGCACTTTTATTCTCTGTAATTATTTTTTTGCCTCCTTGTCACTGCTGTATACTTTTCCTGTGTTCAATGTACAGCACTTGTCTTGGCACTGAAATGAACTATAAAACTAGACTTGCCTTGCCTTTCCTCTTTCTGCTATTCCTTTATATGATGTTTTCTCATGTCTAAACTGGAAAAAGGAAAATGTTATTTTAAATGTATATTATTGAAGGTTCCATAAAAAGGAAAAAACAATTATACTGATTAAATCTGTGATAAATATTGTGCTATAATCAAATCGCAAAAATTGTGCGATAATCCCACAATCCCAAAAGCATATATGTTAGATAAATCTTGAGATTCTAAACATTGGAAGGAATCTAATATTTTGGTTTCATTACAGTTTTTGCAGTTTTAAAACTGTCTACAGTTTTAACATGCCTATACGCCCTTGTGTATCTAGCCAATTAAACATTCACCATGGTAAAAAAGGGACTACTTTTAAGAAATTTAAATTTATTGAAAAAAATTCTTTCTGACTTATTAGAAATTTTGAGTTAAAAAACTGCATCACTTTTTCACTTCCTTTTTCACACCATTAACACAGCATTTGTATTTAACCGATGGTGCTTGGCATCAGAGCTTAATTGAAAGTAAAACAAAGGAGCACTTAAAACTGTTGTTGATTACGGCCTTATGATTGAGGAGCGGT